ATAAGAAGCTTAATAAATGTATATGTATTTGACTGTCTTATTGCAAAAAAGCCTACAAATAATAGTGGCAGAAATAAAAGATTTGTTTACTAAAAGAACCAAAGATTTCTTTTTGCAATTTCCCTTGCAAAAAGAAATTGCAAGGGAAAAAAAACCTACAAATAATAGTGACAGGAAATCCCTCTATTGATAGACAACAAATGGTAGTGTGAACAAATTCTTATTGTGCCTTGTCGAAAGGGTCACAACTCATTGGAAAAGTTACAACTCTTCGAAAAGGTCACAATGTTTCATAAAAGTCAATTTTTTTCATAAAAGTTGCAACTCTTCATAAAAGTCACTACTTTTTATACAAGTTACAACTTTTCAGAAAAGTCGTAACTTTTCATAAAAGTCACAACTTTTCATGAAAGTGGAAGGCTAGTTTTATAAATAAATAAATTAAAAGGGAATTCTTGTTTGTGGTGGCGCTACGTAGGTGGGCCTAGAGTTCTCTTTTATATATATATATGATACATTTAGAATTGGGCGTATTTGAACAGCTGCGTTGGTTCTAACTATCAAATGTGGTGCTTTTTAGGTGTTTTATAGAACTTTACTCGCACGTACCTAATGATATATGACACATGACTTCACATACCACTCTTATAACTAAATTATAGTAGTTAATTAATACACATTTTACTTTAACTTATGGCAATTATAATAAATTAGTACGGTTTAATATAAACATCGAGTAGTTTTTTTATTACATGCCTTCGTATATATTCAATGACAAATTTATCTTTAAGCTAACCATTTAACTCTTAATGGCATGATTTTTAGCCACATAAGTGGCATTTACTATTTTAAAGCACAAGTTTAAAAAAATCTTTCATTTTTTCTCAAGACTTATTGCTCAACAATCAAAGCATTAAACATAAACGCTTATAACTGAAACATCCAAACAGCATTCAGGTATAGCATCCAAAAGCAAGTCCAAAACATCCAAACACAATTCAAGTGACATCTAAAAGCAAGTCTAGACATTCAGACACCATTCAGGTAGTATCCCAACGAAATCAAACAAGTAAATGTTTCAACATCACAAGCACAACAAACTAATTCTCCCCATCAAGACTCATCGTCAGACTCGTCATATCAGCATTCGTCTAAGAGATGACGAACTAGATTCTCCAATCCCGCAAGTCTTAAACGGTTTGCTTTTTGTTTTTTCAACAGCTCTTGTACTTGTATCCGCAGTGAATCTATCTCTTCCTCATTCTGTTTCAACGGAGAACTTAAAGAAGCAGCAGTATATCCATACGTGATACAGCCTACGCAATGCTCTGATCCAAGGCCGCTTGCTTTACTTTTCTTTACTCCACCAATCTTCTTCGACAATATTGAAGCTTCATCATCGTCTGGCGATTGGTTTGAGCTATCATCCTCAGAAGTAGGTTGGCTTTGACGCCATTCATTTAACCCAACCTGAAACATGAACGATAAACTAGTAATACATAGACAAATTCATGAAAGGAAACAATAATAGCTCTGAAGCTAAGATCTTACATTTGTCTCAACATATGGCTCGACCAAAGTACTACGACCATCCTTCTTATTTTTCACAACATGTTGGATGCTCGTCTTTTGAAATTTCTCAGTGGTCCACTTTTCATTAAGTCTAGCCCATATACCTTCTAGCATCCAATCGGGCTTCTGACTCATTTCCCGAGCACACCGCTAGCAATCATCAAGCATAAAAGCAGCGATTCTCCCATAATTATAAAATGTTACATAATCATGTTGGGGATGCCATGTGCAATTCGTCTGCAAAAAATTACTAACAATAGATGTAAAAAAGTAATTTGATGACAATATAGAGAATTGACTTATTTGTACCTTAAAGTGATTCCACATTTGTTCTCTGTCATACACAGGTATCTCTCCCCAGGAAGTCCAAGTGTCACGATAAAATGATTTAATGGAATCCATAATCGCAGTTAGAGATTGGGTGGAGGGCAAAAACCTGGATTAAATTTAACATAGGTAAAAACATATATTCAATAACTAAAAACTAACAAAAGTACTACCGTTTACCCAATAGTCTAAGTAGGAGCGATAATCAGCCTCCGCGAAGCATCCAGCGTTCCAACCTCTCCAATATTTTGACTCTGTGTACCTGTAAATGTTAAATTAGGTCTTGGGCCTAACTCACACCCCAAAAGCTAGCTCAAAGGGAGGAGGATTGCCCAAGCCTTATAAGGAGTCCACCCATCTCATTAACCACCGATGTGGGACTTTTGTCAATCTTTAACAGTAAAGATCCATAAATTTTGATAACTAAGGGTCCATACAAGGACAAAATGACATTGGGATAGTTCAATGTGCCTAAGGGACAAGTTCATAATTCATAGACCATAAATGTCTAATCCACCATATTTACTTGTAACTACAGCCAGATAATCCAAGAATGAATTGGAGAGGATTAATGTTTCAGAATTATGCAAGATTCAATAAAAAATTCACAATGTGGCTGCGAATTTGCAATGCCATTGCAGACTGCTAATAGTCAATCGATTGGTGACTAATTTTGTGTTTTGCCAGCTGGAAGGTGAAACAAGGGATCATATATTTCTTGAGTGCCATCATGCTAGGTGTTTATGGATCAAATTACTCAACTGGCTGGATGCAGTTATACTATGTTATGTCAACTGTTTTCAATGGATTATGTAACACACAAGGGAAGACCAAAATAGAAAAAGCTCTGAGGGCAAAGCTTGTGGATAGAAAGAAATATCAGAATCTTTGAGGGCAAAGCTCGAGCAGCATGAGCCTCACGAATAGGACAACTCCACATCTCCTCAATACTTTTAGTGTGACTCCACACTAATAATTAGATAGAGACATTTACTTCATTCTTTTGAGTAGTAGAGCCTGTATTGGTTGACTATCTCACTAAGAGTTATATCCATAAAGACCAGTTTTTCTTTTTGCATTGTAATTTATGATTTGTCATATGACATGCATGAATAAAACAGTTCACTTATCGACAGGTATATTTAAAGATTGTGTTCATGCATGATTCAAATGATTGTATTTCGAAAAGACTTCTGAATACATGTAAGTGGCATATAAGTAGAGTGTAGTGTGACCTGCAAGTGGAGAGGTAGTGTAACCTGTGGTCTCGGAAACTTTTTTCTTTCCCTTGGATTTACGTGTCACTACATTAGTACTTTGTGGACGATCGTTTTCCAGAGATGCCATCTGTATAATACAGGCAGAGTTAAAATTAAAAAAAAAATTATGAATACTAATTAAGTTGTTGCTTCTTCAATCTATTATATGATATGACTAAAGAACATAAAAAAGTTTCTCCCTTGCTTTAATTTGATAATTAAACTTTTTATATTGCTAGTTTCATTTTCATCAAGTAATTATTTCTCGCATATTTTATGTTCATGGATTGAAGCTCCGTTCTTGTGTGGCAAGGATGTATCTTCCTCATAATCTTGTTGATTTGGGCTACAAGTAATGACTGAATGATAAGTTCTTCATAGATACATTTGATTAGAAATAAGCCGGGAATTGTGAACATGCACTCAGCTACCCTTCCAAACATCTTCTGCTCAAAAAACCGAAAAGTATACATAGATGGTTCTATCTTTTGTGTTTAGATAAAATTAACAAAGTTTCAAAATCATTACTAAATGCAATAAACAAAGTTCAGAAGTTAATTAGTCGGATTCAAGTTAATATTTTCATATGAGCAAAACCCATAAAGGAGAAGAAAACTAAATTCTAGACGGACCTTTGAAGAAAATGGTGATATTTATCCAGATCTATTCAAAATCTCATACAAATACTAATAAACCTTAAAAGTGGGAGGAAAACTGTGGAACAAGTAAAAAATCCACTTACTTCAACTGCACGGTGGTGCCGCCGTGAACGGTGGACGGCTTTGTTTGGCTGTCGTAAGAGGTGAATAGGCAAGGAAAGAGTAGAGGAAAAAAGTGAGGCGAGGAAGAGAGAGTTGAGAAATGAGGGTTTGCTCCCAATATAAATTTAAGTTTTTCGACCTCTTGAAGTCGGAAAATTGAGTCGGTAATCACTTATAAATTGAGCCTCGATTTTCGCAATCTTTACGTCGCTTTTTTCCGTCGGAATATCAAAAGTTTATAATTTGGTGTTCTTCTGAAATGGCTTATTTTGTACTCCAGTATTCTTCTTCCTCTGTTCCTAATTTCTTGCCAAAATTCCATTGTCGAAACTCACATCATTATATTCATTAACATACTAGACTGACCAAACCTGTTTCTTATATCCTCATGTTATAATATAACTTATGGATCAAATAACTATTTTTTGGTTCTAGGCGATGCAAATGTGTCATATTCAGGAAAGAAGAGTGATAATTGTCAATATTAGCTTGAAGCTGAAGTAGAATCAGGATACTTGACAACAAAAAGGTACTGGAGTTATATATGATGAGCATTTTCTGTGATACTTGCTACAGTTTAGAATTGGGAGAGGAGAGTTTATGCGAAACATAAATGGTGCTTATTAGGTGTTCTAAAGAAAATTACTCACAAATCCAATGAATATGACACATAGCTTCACATATACTCTTATAACTACATCATAGTTTATTACGGAGTAATACATATTTTAACTTAATCATAGTAAATCAATATAATTTGATATAAACATAGAGTGCGGATATGTTTTTGCCATTTGTGCAATAAATTTCAAATATTTCTTATTGGTGAATTAGGTTTAAACCTAGCAAATTCGATCTTTCAAGATCAGAAGTAAATTTGAAAAATGATTAACCAGTAATGTTCACATAATTACTTGCGTTTTTTTAATCTTGCATGACACACTTTTTTTTACCAAAAGTTAAGGAAAAAACTTACCCGCACAGGGTGTATACACCAAACTAATGCAATTTCTATTATTACGTGATTTAATGAATAAAACACATGTTAATTAATTATGATTAAGCAAAATGAACTATAAATTTAAACACATGGGATACATGTATTGGCTTGGTGTATACACGCGGTGCGGATAAATTTTACTCCAAAAGTTATCCATTTTATGTTTAATGACATGCTTTTTTAACAACACAAATATTTACCAATATATATTTTTGGATGGAAAGCAAGTTTTAAAAATATATTTCATTCTTTCTGCTCTGTGCCCAAAAATCAAACCTCCTAAAATTCCAACAATTAAAAACAAACGTTTATAACTAAAACATCCAAATACCATTCAAGTAGCATCCAAAAACAAGTCTAAAACATCCAAACACCATTCAAGTAACATCCAAAAGCAAGTCTAAAAACACCATTCAAGTAGCATCTACAAGCAAAAGCAAGTTTAGACATTTGGACACCATTCAAGTAATATCCCAACGAAATCAAACAAGTAAATGTTTCAACATCACAAGCACAACAAACTGATTCACCCTATCAGACTCATCGTCAGGCTCATCATATCAGCATTTGTCTAAGAGATGACGCACTAGATTCTCCAGTCCAGCAAGTCTTAAACGGTCTGCCTTTTGCTTTTTCAACAACTCTTGTACTTGTATCCGCAATGAATCTATCTCTTCCTCATTCTGTTTCAACGGAGAACTTAAAGAAGCAGCAGTATATCCATACGTGATACACCCTACGCAATGCTCTGATCCAAGGCTGCTTGCTTTACGTTTCTTTACTCCACCAATCTTCTTCGACAATAAAGCTTTATCCTCGTCTGGTGATTGTTTTGAGCTATCATCCTCAGAAGTAGGTTGACTTTGACGCCATTCATCCAAGCTTCTTTTATACCCAACCTGAAACAAGAATGATAAGCAATATTTATAAACACATTCATGTTAAGGAAAAGATAATATCTCTGAGGCTAAGATCTTACATTTGTCCTCTCAACATGTGGCTCCACCAAAGTACCATGACCATCCTTTTTCTTTTTCACCTGTTTCTCCTCTAAGACCTTATCATAAGTCATAGTTCTCCCCTTTTTCTTTTCCTGCAAAACAAAAAATATGACTTGGTTAAAGTTCAACAGCATTTAGTAAAAATCAAGGAAAATTCAATAAACAAGTTACCGATTTCCTTTGATGAGTCCCCATACTAGCTGAACCCCCGATGTGCAACGAGTCACCCTTGTTGGAAGCCCGTTGTGCCTTTGCGTCGATGCTCGTCTTTTGAAATTTTGCAGGGGTCCGCTTTTCATCAAGACTAGCCCATATACCTTCTGGCATCCAATCGGGCTTCTGACTCTTTTCCAAAGCACTCTCCAAGATATCGTTAAACATATACATAGCATTTAGCTCAAAATTACAAAACATCTTATAATCATGTTCGGGATACCATGCACACTTCGTCTGCAAATAATTAATAACATTAGATGAAAAAAAAGTAATTTGATAAATAATATAAAGAAATGATTTATTTGTACCCTAAAGTGATTCCACATCTGCTCTCTGTCAAAGACAGGTATCTCGCCCCAGGAACTCCAAGCATCAAGATAAAATGACTTTATAGAATCCATAATCACATTCATAGATTCGATGGAGGGAAAAAACCTGCATTAAATTTAACATATGTAAAAACATATATTCAATAACCAAAAACTAACATAAGTATTGTTTACCCATTAGTCTCAGCAGGAGCGATAACTAGCTTCCCAAAACCATCCAGCATTCCAACCTCTACAAACTTTTGACACTGTGTACCTGTAAAGATCCATAAATTTTGATAATTAATGTGAGAAAAATTATGAGCTTAAGAGTATAATTATTCTCGCCTTGAAGTATGTAAGGGTCCACCCAAGGACAAGAAGACCTTGGGATAGTTCAATGTGCCTAAAGGACAAGTTCACAGTTCATAGCCCATAAAAATCTAATCCACTAGATCTACTCGTAAGTCGTAACTACTGCCAGATAACCCAAGAATGAATTGGAGAGGGTTAATGTTTCAAAATTATGCAAAATCCAACGCAAAATTCACAATGTGGTTGCGAATTTGCAATGCCATGGAAGACTGCTAACAATTGATCGATTGGTGACTAAGGGGTCGTTTGGTAGAGTGTATTGGAGAAAATAATGCATGCATTAGCTTTAGGTATTACTAGTACCTTGTTTGGTACACTTTTTCAACCTATGTATAACTAATGTTTGTATAAGTAATACACTCTATTGTGTATTGAGGAGTGTATTAGTAATACCATGGATTTCTATGCATTGTAATGCAATGGGTTCTAATGCATGTATTGGCAAGATTAAAGGCACAATTATCCCTTAAAAACTTCTCCACATCCTCTCCACTATATTTGTGGAGGGTATTTTTATAAACAAATATATTTTTTTAAAAAGTTATGCAATGCATGATATTTTTAGTACATCAAACCAAACACTACATAAGAAAAATCTCAGCATAACTAATGCAATCATAACTAATACAAGCATTACTAATACACTATATTTTGCATTATTCTTATACACTCAAACGACTCCTAAATGTATGTTTTGCCAGCTGGAAGATGAAACAAGGGATCATATATTTGTTAAGTGTCATTATGCTAGGTGTTTCTTGACCAAATTACTCAACTGATCACAGTTATGTTATGTTACGCCAATTGCTTGGACCAATTTCTTTCAATGGACAATGCAACACGCAAAGGGGAAGACCAAAATAGCAAAAGCATTGAAATGGTATAAGCAAAATTCATTCATACCTTGTGGACATAAAGAAATATCAGAATCTTTAAGTACATTTACTTCATTCTTTACTCAGGCTCGAGCAAGATCTCCACATCTTAGAAAGACATTTACTTCATTCTTTTGAGTACTAGAGCCTGTCTTGGTTGACTATTTCACTATGCGTTATAGAAGTTCCATAGACAATAGTTTTTCTTTTTGCGTTGTAATTTATGATTTCTCATATGACATGCATGTATAAAACATTTCATTTATCGAAAAGATGTTGATTTAAAGGTTGTGGTCATGCATGATTTTAATGATCATTTCAAATGATTGTTATTCAAAAAGACTTCCTGTATACATGTAAGAGGCATATAAGTAGAGAGGTAGTGTAACCTGTAGTCTCAGAAACTTTTTTCTTTCCCTTAGATTTACGTTTCACTGCACTAGCACTTTGTGGACGATCATTCTCCTGAGATGTCATCTGAATAATACAAGCATAGTTAAAAATAATAATAATTTAAGAATACTAATAAAGTTGTTACTTCTTCAACCTATTATATGACTAAAGAAGATAAAAAAACTAACATACTAATTTTTCCCTTGCTTTAAATTCATCATTAAATTTTTTATATTGCTCGTTTCATTTTCATCAAGTAATTATTTCTCGCTTGTTTTATGTTCATCAATTGAATCTCCATTCTTGTGTGGCATGGATGTATCTTCCTCATAATCTTGTTGATTTGAGCTACAAGTAAAGACTGAAGGATAAGTTCTTCATAGATACATTTGATCATAAATAAGCCGGGGGTTTTGAACAAGAACTCAGCTACCCTTCCGGGTAATCAAACATCTTCTGCTCAATCCCCCGAAAAGAATACATAGATGGTTATATCTTTTGTGTTAGATAAAATTAACAAAGTTCCAAAATCATTAATGCTAAATACAATAAACAAAGTTGGGAAGTTAAGTAGTCAAAGCAGAGAGACTATAACGATTCAAGTTAATATTTTCATATGAGCAACACCCAGAAAGAAGAACAAAACTTAATCAAAGCAAAATTCTACACGGACCTTTGAAGAAAATGGTGATATCTATCCAGATCTATTCAAAATCTCATACAAATAGTAAACCTGGAGAAAAACTGTGGAAGAAGGAAAAAATCCACTTACCTCGACTGAGCGGTGGTGCTGCCGTCAACGGCGGCGCTACTGGACGGCTTTATTTGGCTGTCCTAAGAGGTGAATCGCCAAGGAAAGAGTAGAGAAAAAAAGTGAGGCGAGGAAGTGATAATTGAGAAAAAATGAGGGTTTTGTTCCCAATATATATTTAAGTTTTGCGACGGCTGCCGTCGGAAATCTGTGTCGGTAATGACTTATAAATGCAGCGTCGATTTTCGCGCACTTTTTCCATTGGAATGTCGAAAAGATTTTTTTTGTTTGGTGTTGTTCTTCTGAAATGGCTTATTTTGGTAGTAGTATTCTTCTTCCTCTGTTCCTTAGTAATGCAGTGGAGAAAACTTACTAAACTGGGCAGGTGCTTCGGCTTCAGTACAATTTGCTATTTGATACTTAGTGTGGTTTGATACAAATATAGAGTGCGAAAAGTTTTTGTCTATGGTATTTTGTCATTTGTGCAATAAGTTTTAAGTATTTCTTATTGGTAAATCAGGTTTAAACTTAAGAAAATTCCATCTTATCGAGCTTATTGAAGAAAATTTGAAAAATGATTAACTATTAATGTTCACATAATAGTTACTTATCCTGTTTTATCTTCCGTGACACACTTTTTTTTCCACCACTCTCTTTTATGCTTAATAACATAAATGGTTTGTGCCCAACAATCAAATCTCCAAAAATTCGAACAATTAAACATAAACGTTTATAACTAAAACATCCAAAACACCATTCAAGTAGCATACAAAATCAAGTCTAAAACATCCAAAGACCTTGAATGGTCCATTCAGGTAATATCCAAACGAAATCAAACAAGTATTGCTTCAACATCAAAAGCACAACAAACTATTTTTCTCCATCAGACTCATCATTGTCAGACTCTTCAGATCGGCAATTGTCTATGAGCTGAACCACTAGATTCTCCAGTCCATCAAGTCTTAAACGGTCTGCTTTTTGCTTTTTCAATAGCTCTTGTACTTGTATCCGCAATGATTTTATCTCTGAATCTATCTCTTCCTGATTCTGCCCAGAACTTAAAGAAGCAGAAGCAAATCCAAACGTGACACAGCCTACGCAATGCTCTGATCCAAGGACGCGTGCTTTACCTTTCTTTAATCCACCAATCTTCTTCGACAATATTGAAGCTTCATCATCGTCTGGCAATTGGGTTAAGCTATCATCCTCAGAAGTAGGTTGACTTTGACGCCATTCATCCAAGCCTTTTTTATACCCAGCCTGAAACAAGACTGATAAGCATATATAAACAAATTCATGTCAAGGTAAAGATAACAGCTCTGAAGCTAAGATCTTACATTTGTCCTCTCAACATGTGACTCCACCAAAGTATTATGGCCATTCTTTTTATTTTTCACATGTCTCTCCTTTGAGATCTCATCATAAGTCATAGTTCTCCTTTTTTTCTTCTCCTGCAAAACAAAATATATAAGTTCGTTAAAAGTTCAATCGCATTTAGTTAAAATCAAGGAAAATTTAATAAACAAGTTACCAATTTCCTTTGATGAGTCCCTGGTGGTGCCTTTGCTTGGATGCTCGGTTTTTGAAATTTCTCAGTGGTCCTCTTTTCAATAAGTCTAGCCCATAAACCTTCTAGCATCCAATCGGGCTTCTGATTCATTTCCCAAGCACTCTCCAAGGTTTTGTTAAGCAAAAAAGCAGCGTTTATCTCAAAATTACAAAATATATGATATTCATGTTGGGGATACCATGCACACTGAGTCTGCAAATAATTTATAACATTAGATGAAATAAGTAATTTGATAAATAATATAAAGAATTAATCTATGTGTATGTAACAAACTCAATAACTAGACCAATGCAATTCAAACTAAAACAACCGATAGATATATTTCACTAACTCGTAATGAAATTACAAAGGAATCTAAGTACTAAAATGGAAATTGTAGAACTAGAAGAAAGGGATGAGAGTCAGAACTGGTCAAAGAAAGGGGATGAGGAATACAGATACTCCATAACAGTTTTGCCTAAAAACCCTTCTTTCTCATCCTTCATCTAATTAACTAGTTGTTTATTGGGCCCGGGTCCCAAACCAACCTTTGTGAAGGCCTTCTAATTTTGTTGCTTCTTTTCGGCCCAATAACTAGTTGTGTGGCCTCCGAATAGGTATTGACATTGGGCCGAGGCTGGTTCATAACAATACTCTCATCCTCAATAGGAACCTTGTCCTCAAGGTTCGAGTCGAGAATAATGTTAGTAGCGTGCACCCGGAAGTTGTAGCGAAGAGAAACAAATTGTTCGAGTGCAAGCAGGCTCTTTCCAAACACAACTGTAGTGTAAGCTTTAGCACCCTTGCGGAGACGTGCATACTCAGAAGGAGAATACATGACCCAAGAAGTAACCAAGTCACTGACATGTGCCTTGTCTCCTGTGTAATTAGTGACACCAAATTCACTGAAGGGTTATGCGCAAGACCTTTTCCATTGCATAGCTTCCTGAAGCTTAAAAACATAAGCACAATCTGGACCAATGTGTTCAATTAGTGCATTCCACTGCCTTTGCCATATATGTTGCACTAGACTGACATGATTGAGTGCTAAGAGAAACTCCAAGGAACTATAAAAATGTTCCGATGCATCAGTGCCTACATGTTTCCGCCCAATACCATAAATTTATTCATTCCACAATGTAACTATGCAAAAATAAGTAGAAACAAAACTACTATTTGGAAACATATTCCCATTGGCACCACAGGATAGAGTAATATCATGTATACCAGGGTCAAAAGGACGATTTGTAAAGGTGAGAGAAACAATGAAACCTGGTGAGAAATAAGAATAAGGTTGAAGAGTCATGCTCCAGCCAAAATTGGTGTTTGGCGAAAGGATGTATAGAGCCTTTGTGAAATTATTGCACACAAAATAAGAAGTAGAACTCAACATCATCCATTTGTTCTGCCTTCGTGCAGCCCTCAACTGGTTCCCCACTAGCCACTCCAATATCTTGATACCAAGAACCCTTGGATGTGGCTCACCGGCATTTTGAGTAGCAAATTGTGAGCAACCCATTCCCAAGCTGTGTTTAGGCCGAGAAGTATGTTGCCCAGTGTCAAACCAATCGCAAGGGGTTAAGCCATTTTTCACGCTCACACACAATGCTAGATCCCTAAAATCATGAGGCATCAAGGGCAAACAGAGCTGGGCGAATAGGCATGGGTAAAACTCGACAATCACATTATCTTCTATAGGAATGATAAGTGAAGTCTCTACCTCGTTTTTGTCTTTATTTTCAACAATAACAGCATAGTCATTGGCCACATCACACGGGAAAATAGGATGTTCAGGATCAGTAGGGAAATGTGTTTCAATAGTATATTTGGTCATCGTACGCACCTTGTGTGGTTCCAGTATTGCCCCTTTAGACCTATCAGAAAATTGATCAAACACCTGACCTGCATTACTTTCGAATTCTGATTGCTTAGCATAATGTTGTGGCAAAAGTGAGTTCGTTATGTTGCTCCCTCTCACAGACTCAAGTTCTTTTGGTTTAAATCGAATTCTCACCTTAGCAGCAAAATGTGGCCAATCAATTAACTGATTGTTCCTAAATAACCATCGGTACCAGTCTAATGCTTCACCATCAAGGTAGAATGATGCCACGGTAAGCTTTTGATCTTCCTCAATATTGTAGAAATCAAAATAATGCTCCACTTGGACTATCCAAGCCTCCAGATTCTCACCTCGAAACTGCCATAATTTAGCATCCATAACTGTGTTTGGGGGTTGAAAAGAGGTTGTAACATTTTTCCCCAAAGCCTCCAGCAGCACAGAACGAAATTCAGCGAGATCTTTAGAGATAGAATCCTTCATTTCTTTGATTGAATCACGAATTGAATCATCAACGAAAATCTTGAGTACTTTGTGGTCCTCCATTAGAGAAACCTCTCAACGAGAGCACCAATGTAACAAACTCAATAACTAGACCAATGCAATTCAAACTAAAACAACCGATAGATATATTTCACTAACTCGTAATGAAATTACAAAGGAATCTAAGTACTAAAATGGAAATTGTAGAACTAGAAGAAAGGGATGAGAGTCAGAACTGGTCAAAGAAAGGGGATGAGGAATACAGATACTCCATAACAGTTTTGCCTAAAAACCCTTCTTTCTCATCCTTCATCTAATTAACTAGTTGTTTATTGGGCCCGGGTCCCAAACCAACCTTTGTGAAGGCCTTCTAATTTTGTTGCTTCTTTTCGGCCCAATAACTAGTTGTGTGGCCTCCGAATAGGTATTGACATTGGGCCGAGGCTGGTTCATAACAGTGTACCTTGAAGTGATTCCACATTTGTTCTCTGTCATAGACAGGTACCTCTTCCCAGGAACTCCAAGCGTCCCGATAACATGATACAATGGAATCCATAATCGCATTTGCAGATTGGAAGCCGGGAATAAACCTGCATTAAATTTAACGTATGTAAAAACATATATTCAATAACTAAAACTAACAGAAGTACTGTTGTTTACCCAATAGTCCCAGCAGGAGCAATAACCAGCCTCCCCAAAGCATCCAGCGTTCCAACCTCTACAAACTTTTGACTCTGTGTACCTGTAAAGATCCATACATTTTGATAATTAATTTGGAAAAAATTATGAGCTTAAGAGTACAATGTATTCTCACCTCAAAGTATGTAAGGGTCCACACAGGACAAGAAGACCTTGGGATAGTTCAATGTGCCTAAAGAAAGAGTTCACAATTCATAGCCCAATAAAAGTCTAATCTACTAGATCTACTTGTAACTACTGCCAGATAACCCAAGAATGAATTGGAGAGGGTTAATGTTTCAAAATTATACAAAAACCAACACAAAATTCACAATGTGGTTGCGAATTTGCAATGCCATGGAAGACTGCTAACAGTTGATCGATTGATGACAAAGGGGTCGTTTGATTGAGTGTATTGGAGAAAAATAATGCATGCATTAGCTTTAGGTATTACTAATACCTTGTTTGGTACACTTTTTCAACATATGTATAACTAATGCTTGTATTAGTAATACACCCTATTGTGTATTGATGAATGTATTAGTAATACCATGGATTTCTATACATTATTAATGCAATGGGTTCTAATGCATGCATTGATTTGATTAAAGACACAATTGTCCCTCAAAAACTTCTCCACATCCTTTCCACTATATTTGTGGAGGGTATTTTCATAAACAAATATTATTATTTTTAAAAATTATGCAATTCAAGATATTTTTAGTACATCAAACCAAACACTGCATAAAAAAAATCTCAACATAACTAATACAAGCATTACTAATACACTATATTTTACATTATTCTTATAAACTCTACCAAACTATCCCTAAATGTATGTTTTGCCAGCTGGAAGATGAAACAAGGGATCATATATTTGTTAAGTGTCATTATGTTAGATGTTTCTTGACCAAATTACTCAACTGATTGCAGTTATGCTATGTTACGCCAATTGTTGGACCAATTTCTTCAATGGACTATGCAACACGCAAAGGGGAAGACCAAAATAGAAAAAGCTTTGAAATGGTATAAGCAAAATTCATTCATACCTTGTGGACATAAATAAATATCAGATTCTTTTAGTACATCAGGCACGAGCAGGATCTCCACATCTTAGAGAGACATTTACTTCATTCTTTTGAGTACTGGAGCCTGTCTTGGTTGACTATTTTCACTATGCGTTATAGAAGTTCTATTGACTATAGTTTTTCATTTTGCGTTGTAATTTATGATTTCTCATATGACATGCATGAATAAAACATTTCATTTATCGAAAAGATGTTGATTTAAAGGTTGTGGTCATGCATGATTTTAATGATCATTTCAAATGATTGTTATTCAAAAAGACTTCCTGTATACATGTAAGAGGCATATAAGTAGAGAGGTAGTGTAACCTGTAGTCTCAGAAACTTTTTTCTTTCCCTTAGATTTACGTTTCACCGCACTAGCACTTTGTGGACGATCGTTTTCCTGAGATGCCATCTGAATAATACAAGCATAGTTAAAAATAATAATAATTTAAGAATACTAATAAAGTTGTTACTTCTTCAACCTATTATATGACTAAAGAACATAAAAAAACTAACATATTAATTTTTCCCTTGCTTTAAATTGATCATTAAATTTTTTATATTGCTCGTTTCAACTTCATCAAGTAATTATTTCTCGCTTGTTTTATGTTCATCAATTGAATCTCCATTCTTGTTTGGCATGGATGTATCTTCCTACTGCTTTTTCTTCCTTTTTCCATACTTCAGGAGGAAGAGACGAGGGTTCGGAGGAGAATTGGCCATTCAATCTTGTGAATTTCGAGTAAGGAAGAAGAGCTGCTTTTATTTAAGCGGAATCAGAGCTCTTGGGTAAGAAGGCAGGAAGAAGTTCACACTCATAATCTTGTTTATTTGAGCTACAAGTAAAAACTGAAGGGTAAGTTCTTCGTAGATACATTTGATCAGAAATAAGCTGGGAATTTTGAACAAGCACTCAGCTACCCTTCCGGGTAATCAAACATCTTCTGCTCAATCCCCCGAAAAGTATACATAGATGGTTATATCTTTTGTGTTAGATAAAATTAACAAAGCTCCAAAATCATTAGTGCTAAATACAATAAACTAAGTCCGAAAGTTAATTAGTCAAAGCAGAGAGACTATAACGATTCAAGTTAATATTTTCATATGAGCAACACCCAGAAAGAAGAACAAAACTTAATCAAAGCAAAATTCTACACGGACCTTTGAAGAAAATGGTGATATCTATCCAGATCTATTCAAAATCTCATACAAATAGAAAACCTAGAGAAAAACTGTGGAAGAAGGAAAAAATCCACATACCTCAACTGAACAGTGGTGCTGCCGTCAACGGTGGCGCTAATGGACGGCTTTATTTGGCTGTCCTAAGAGGTGAATCGCCAAGGAAAGAGTAGAGAAAAAAAGTGAGGCGAGGAAGTGAGAATTGAGAAAAAATGAGGGTTTTGTTCCCAATATATATTTAAGTTTTGCGACGGCTGTGGTCGGAAATCTGCGTCGGTAATGACTTATAAATGCAGCGTCGATTTTCGCGCAATTTTTTCATCGGAATGTCGAAAAGATTTTATTTATTTATTTGTTTGGTGTTCTTCTTCTGAAATGGCTTATTCTTCTTCCTCTGTTCCTAATTGATGCAGTGGAGTGGAGAGAAAACACTAAACTGAGCAGGTGCTTCGGCCTCAGTACAATTTGCTATTTGATACATTTCATATAAACATTGAGCGGGATAAGTTTTCCGCTATGGTGTTTTGCCATTTTTGCAACTAGATTTGAATATTTCTTATTGGTAAATCAGATTTAAACCTAAAAAGTTCGAGCTTATTGAAGTAAATTTGACAAATGATTAACTATTAATGTTCACATAACACGTTATTTTATCTGAGTTCCAAGCCTTTATGCTCCGTACAAGTGCTGCATACAAGTTCCGGCCAGGATGATTGAGAAAGATTCAACCAATTTGAACCGCTCACATCACAATAGTAGTAGCGTAAAGACCGTAAGTCGGGGGCGGCCATAACATAAGGCTATTACTTTCACACCCCTCTCTCTCTCTGAGAGAGTGATCCGCTGCGTGAGCAACCCGACTGTGCCTTACATGATACACTTTCTTTTTTTGCTGCTTACTGTTTTATGCTTAATGATATGATATTTTAGCCACATAAATATGTATCGATATATTTTAGACTACAAATTTCAAAAATTATTTCATTCCTTTTGGTTTGTGCCCAACAATCAAACCTCCTAAAATTCCAACAAGTAAACATAAAGGTTTATAACTAAAACATCCAAACACCATTCAAGTAGCATACAAAATCAAGTCCAAAAACATCCAAAGACCACTCAAGTAAGATCCAAAAGCCAGTCTAGACATTCAGAACCCATTCAGGTAATATCCAAACGAAATCAAACAAGTAAATATTTCAACATCAAAAGCACAACAAACTATGTTTCCCCATCAGACTCATCATTGTCAGACTCTTCAGATCGGCAATTGTCTATGAGCTGAACCACTAGATTCTCCAGTCCATCAAGTTTTAAACGGTCTGCTTTTTGCTTTGTCAATAGCTCTTGTACTTGTATCCGCAATGATTTTATCTCTGAATCTATCTCTTCCTGATTCTGCCCAGACCTTAAAGAAGCAGAAGCAAATCCGTACGTGACACAGCCTATGCAATGCTCTGATCCAAGGACGCGTGCTTTACCTTTCTTTAATCCACCAATCTTCTTTGACAATATTGAAGCTTCATCATCTTCTGGTGATTGGGTTAAGCAATCATCCTCAGAAGTAGGTTGACTTTGACGCCATTCATCCAAGCCTTTTTTATACCCAACCTGAAACAAGACTGATAGGCAATATATAAACAAATTCATGTTAGGGAAAATATAATAGCTCTGAAGCTAAGATCTTACATTTTTCCTCTCAACATGTGGCTCCACCAAAGTATTATGACCATTCTTTTTAATTTTCACATGTTTCTCCCTTGAGACCTCATCATAAGTCATAGTTCTCCTTTTTTTCTTCTCCTGCAAACAAAAAATATAAGTTAGTTAAAAGTTCAACAGCATTTAGTTAAAATCAAGGAAAATTTAATAAACAAGTTACCAATTTCATTTGATGAGTCCCTGGTGCCTTTGCTTGGATGCTCGGCTTTTGAAATTTCTCAGTGGTCCTCTTTTCAATAAGTCTAGCCCATAAACCTTCTAGCATCCAATCGGGCTTCTCATTCATATCCCGAGCACTCTCCAAGGTTTTGTTAAGCAAAAAAGCAGTGTTTATCTCAAAATTACAAAATATATGATATTCATGTTGGGGATACCATGCACACTGCGTCTGGAAATAATTTATAACATTAGATGAAATAAGTAATTTGATAAATAATATAAAGGATTAATCTATTTGTACCTTGAAATGATTCCACATTTGTTCTCTGTCATAGACAGGTACCTCTCCCCAGGAACTCCAAGCATCTCGATAACATGATACAATGGAATCCATAATCACATTTGCAGATAGGTAGTCAGGAATAAACCTGCATTAAATTTAATGTATGTAAAAACATATATTCAATAACTAAAAACTAACAGAAGTACTGTTGTTTACCCAATAGTGTCAGCAGGAGCAATAACCAGCCTCCCCAAAGCATCCAGCGTTCCAACCTCTATAAACTTTTGACTCTGTGTACCTGTAAAGATCCATACATTTTGATAATTAATTCGGAAAAAATTATGAGCTCAAGCGTACAATGTATTCTCGCCTCAAAGTATGTAAGGTTCCAGACTAGGACAAGAAGATCTTGGGATAGTTCAATGTGCCTAAGGGACAAGTTTACAATTCATAGCCCATAAAAGTCTAATCCACCATATTTTATTTGTAACTACTGCCAGATAACCCAAGAATGAATTGGAGAGGGTTAATGTTTCAAAATTATGCAAAATCCAACGCAAAATTCACAATGTGGTTGCAAATTCGCAATGCCATGGCAGATTGCTAACAGTTGATCGATTGGTGACTAACTGTGTATTTTACCAGCTGAAAGATAAACAAGGGATCATATAGTTGTTGAGTGTCATTATGCTAGGTGTTTGTGGATCAAATTACTCAACTGGATGCATTTATACTATGTTATGCCAATTGCTTTCAATGGATTATGCAACACACAAAAGGGAAGACCAAAATAGCAAAACATCTGAACATGGTATAAGAAAAATTCATTCATACCTCATTCTCAAAAAAATAAAAAAAAATTCATTCATACCTTGTGGATAGAAAGAAATATAAGAATCTTTGAGGGCAAAGCTCGAGCAGCATGAGCCTCACGAATAGGACAATTTCACATCTCCTCTCCATACTTTTAGTGTGACTCCACACTTACAATTAGAGTGAGACAGTTACTTCATTCTTTTTGAATACTAGAGCTTGTCTTAGTTGACTATTTCACTAAACGCTATAGAAGTTCCATAGACAATAGTTTTTCTTTCTGCGTCGTAATTTTTTATTTCTGATATTACATGCATGAACAAACCATTTCATTTATCGAAGGGTGTTGATTTAAAGGTTGTGTTCATGCTTGATTTTAATCATTTCAAACCATTGTATTTCGAAAAGACTTCCGAAAACATATAAAAGGCATATAAGTAGAGTGGAGGGGTAGTGTAACCTGTAGTTTCGGAAACTTTTTTCTTTCCCTTAGATTTACGTCTCACTGCATTAGTACTTTCTGGACGATCGTTTTCCTGAGATGCCATCTGTATATACAAGCATAGTAAAAAAATAAAATAAGAATACTTATAAGGTGGTTACTTTTTCAACCAATTATATGACTAAAGAACATAAGAAAAACATATTATTTTTTACCCTTGCTTTAAATTGATCATTTAATTTTTATCATGCTTGTTTCATTTTGTGTTTTGGGCTAAAATTATCCCTTATCTGCGGGAGTAGATTCATTTTGGTCTTTCAAATATAACTTGAGCATTTTTAATCCCTTAACTTTGCTAAAGTGAAGCAATTTTGGTCTTCCTAACATAACAATGTTAAAAACTAACCGCAAAGATAATTTTTCTAACGGTACAAATTTCAACTGATAGGATCTCTTTCTTGATTGATGCACATTTTATTTCTTCTTGCCTTCTACACATCTTAGAATTAATATAGTAGTAGTTATTAATATCAGAAGACAATACTTTAGAACACAACAATCTGCCCCTCGAAAAAATAAATCATTTTTTCTTTAAGACAGTAACAAAATGGCCTTAAGGTGCGACAACACAACCTTAGAAAAGCAACCATAATGGACCAAAATATTTGGCCTCAAAAGAACCCTCACGCTCTTGCTGTATATGTAGTGATTACTCATGGAAGCAGTTAAAGGTGAGAATCTCAACAAATCAGCCTTGAAATGCAGCTACCAAAAATCAGGAATATGTCTTCTCAACGGCTATGGGAATGAATTTGTCCAATGGATTTTATATATTACAAGTCAGGACTCAGGTAGGTGTCATATGGGTTTAACATCCTTACTTCTAAACGGATTCTGTTAAAAAGATCAAAAAGAGCTCCAGTTTAGCAAAATTAAGAGACTAAACATGCTTAAGTTACATTTGAATTAAAGACCAAAATAAAGATACTACTGTAGATAAGAGATAATTTTAAGCCCAAAACTCTTTCATTTTCATCAAATAATTATTTCTCGTTTGTTTTATGTTCATTGATTGAATCTCCATTCTTGTCTGGCATGGACGTATTTTCCTCATAATCTTGTTGATTTGAGGTATGAGTAAAGACTAAAAACTGAAGGATACATTTGATTAGAAATAAGCCGGAAAATTTTGAACATGCACTCAGCTACCCTTCCGGGTAACGAAACATCTTCTGCTCAATCACCCAAAAAGTATACGTAGATGGTTCTATCTTTTGTGTTAGATAAAATTAACAAAGCTTCAAAATCATTACTAAATACAATAAACAAAGTTCAGAAGTTAATTAGCAGAGAGTATAAGTTTTCAAGTTAATATTTTCATATGAGCGAAACCCAGAAAGAAGAAGAAAACTAAATCAAAGCTAAATTCTACACGGACCTTTAAAGAAAATGGTAATATCTATCCAGATCTATTCAAAATCTCATACAAATACTTATAAACCTTAAAAATGGGAGGGGAACTGTGGAAAAAGGAAAAAATACACTTACCTCAACTGAGCGGTGGTGCCGCCGTGAACGGTGGCGCTACTAGACGGCTTTCTTTCGCTGTCCCGGCAAGGAAAGAGTAGAGAAAGAAAGTGAGGCGAGGAAGAGAGAGTTTAGAATTGAGGGTTTGTTCCAATATATATTAAAGTTTTGCGACGGCTTGAGTCGGAAATCCTTGTCGGTAATGACTTATAAATGCAGCGTCGATGTCCGTCGTTTTTTCCGTCGGAATATCAAAAAGTTTTTGTTTTTTGTTATTCTTTTTCTGAAATGGCTTATTTTGTACTAGTATTCTTCTTCTTCCGTTCCTAATGTCTTTGCCTACAACAATTCCCAAAATTCCAGTGTCGAAACTCCTGTTTCGTATATCCTCTATTTTATATCTTTTGCAGGATACTTGAGAATCATAGAGCATTTTCTGTGATTAAGTTGCAATAGGCCAACAGCTCTTTTGCAGGGCTGATGTGCTATTCTTCTCAGGTGGAAGCACATTTAGATTGGTTTGGATAGCGTACATCGGATGCATTCTACAAGGATGTCAATCCACAGGGGAATAAAGAAAGTTTTGAAAGATACAACTTTTTTGGGTATTATTCTGAATGGCCGATTTTCTAGTATTCGTGTTCCTAATTTCTCGCCCACAACATTTCCCAGTTCATTATATTCATTAACACATTGTTTGTTAAAGGATCACAGTACATTCCTTTATATATCAGATAGTTGCTTATCATAATATGGTTGCTATTTTGTCAATTTTTAACTACTCTTTTTGTCAACGTGGTCACAGGTTTGTATCTAGATTAATTGACATCAAGGAGAATGGTAAATTTAGGGGCTTGAAACAAAACACTCCATGCTCTGACCTCCCGGAGTTCATAAATTTCTTCAACTTTGATACACAAAAGGGCATAACTGTATGAACTTGTATATATAATGGAAGATTTTGTTTTAGTAGTTTTGCTCTCTCAATAAGTTGCGACTTCACTGCCACTTTAGTACTTCAGGTGGTTGGGGTGTCTAGACTATGTACTCCAGCTGATATTGGCTATGTACAAGAAGCTGGTCTCAAGACGAGTCGCTTGTTAAACACGATGGTCCTACTAAAGGAATAAGTCAACATTTTGGTAAAGACACCCCTGCTAAGATGCAGCAAGTTGGCTCTGTTACTGTTCCTTTCTGGAGTGATGTTTTTGAGATTCTTCACCATAATGTTGTATTGTTGGTCACCTGATTGCTTCATTGTACAATATAACGTATAGATAAGTGCAGTATGAATGGAAATGCTTATGATGCTTATGTTTGCGAATTCCTATTTCCATAAATTTTATATTGCTCTTTGATAAATGGGACAAATTAAAATTGGGAGTATTTGAAGAGGTGCTTATGCCTCAGTTCAAAATATCAAATGGGTTGTAACATATATGTTTTACTAGGTGAGTTTATGCCCGTGTTAGGCATGTGCATAAACAAGTAAATTTTCCAACATCAATCAAGTAACATCCAAAAGCAAGTCTAAAACATCCAAACACTATTTAAGTAACATCCAAAAGCAAGTCTACACATTCAGACACCATTCAGGTAATATCCAACGAAATCAAACAAGTAAATGTTCCAACATCACAAGCACAACAAACTAATTCTCTCCATCAGACTTATCATCGTCAGACTCTTCAGATCGGCAATTATCTATGAGCTGAACCACTAGATTCTCCAGTCCATCAAGTCTTGAACGGTCTGCTTTTTGCTTTTTCAACAATTCTTGTACTTGTATTCGCAATGAATCTATTTCTGAATCTATCTCTTCCTGATTCTGCGAAGAATCTAAAGAAGCAGCAATAAACCCGTACATGATACAACCTGTGCAATGGTCGGATCCAAGACCACGTGCTTTACGTTTCTTTACTTCACCAATCTTCTTTGACAATATTGAAGCTTCATCATGACCCATAGTTCTCCCTTTTTTCTTTTCCTGCAAAACAAAAAATATGAGTTGGTTAAAAGTTCAATCGCATTTAGTTAAAATCAAGGAAAATATAATAAACAATTTACCAATATCCTTTGATGAGTCCTTGGTGCCTTTGGTTGGATGCTCGGCTTTTGAAATTTCTCAGTGGTCCACTTTTCAACAAGTCTAACCCATAAACCTTCTAGCCTCCAATCGGGCTTCTCATTCATTTCCCGAGCACTCTCCAAGGTTTTATTTGCAAAAAAGCAGCGTTTATCTCAAAATTACAAAATATATGATATTCATGTTCGGGACACCATGCACACTGTGTCTGCAAATAATTTATAACATTAGATGAAATAAGTAATTTGATAAATAATATAAAGATTTTTTTTCTATTTGTACCTTGAAGTGATTCCACATTTGTTCTCTGTCATAGACAGGTACCTCTTCCCAGGAACTCCAAGCATCTCGATAAAATGATACAATGGAACCCATAATCGCATCTGCAGATTCTAAGCCGGGAATAAACCTGCATTGAATTTAAAGCATGTAAAAACATATATTCAATAACTAAAAACTAACAGAAGTACTGTTGTTTACCCAATAGTTCCAGCGGGAGCAATAACCAGCCTCCCCAAAGCATCCAGCGCTCCAACCTGTACAAACTTTTGACTCTGTGTTCCCGTAAAGATTCATACATTTTAATAATTAATTCGGAAAAATTATGAGCTTAAGAATACAATGTATTCTCGCCTCAAAGTATGTGAGGGTCCACACAAGGACAAGAAGACCTTGGGACAGTTCAATGTGCCTAAGGGGCAAGTTTACAATTCATATCCCATAAAAGTCTAATCCACCAGATTTACTTGTAAGTTGTAACTACTGCCAGATAACAAGAATCGGAGAGGATTAATGTTTCAGAATTATGGAAGATCCAATGCAAAATTACAATATGATTGCAAATTTGCAATGCCAGGGCAGACTGCTAACAGTTGATTGTTTGGTGACTAAATGTGTGCCAAATTACTCAGCAGCTGATGCAGTTATACTATGTCATACCAACTACTTGGACCAACTGCTTTCAATAGATTAAAGGAAGACCAAAATAGCAAAAGCTCTGAAAACAGTATAAACAAAATTCATTCATATCTTGTGGATAGAAAGAAATATCAGAATCTTTGAGGAAAAAGCTCGAGCAGCATGAGCCGCATGAATAGGACAACTCCACATCTCCTCTCATATGACATGCATGAATAAAACATTTCATTTATCGAAAGGTGTTGATTTAAAGATTGTGTTCATGCATGATTTTAATCATTTCAAATGATTGTATTTCGAAAAGACTTCTGAATACATGTAAGAGGCGTATAAGTAGAGTAGAGAGGTAGTGTAACCTGTAGTCTCGGAAACTTTTTTCTTTCCCTTAGATTTACGTCTCACTGCACTAGTACTTTGTGGACGATTGTTTTCCTGAGATGCCATCTGTATAATACAAGCACAGTAAAAAAAATACAATAATTTAAGAATATTAATATAGTTGTTACTTCTTCAACTTATTATATGAATAAAGAACATAAAAAAACTAACAGTAATAATTTTTCCCCAGTTTGCTTTAAATTGATCATTAATTTTTTTTCACTGCTAGTTTCATTTTCATCGAGTAATTATTTCTCGCTTGTTTTATGTTCATCCATTGAATCTCCATTCTTGACTGGCATGGATGTATCTTCCTCAAAATCTTGTTGATTTGAGGTACGAGTAAAGACTGACGGATAAGTTCTTCATAGATTCATTTGATTAGTTGGGCTCTAATGTGGGTATAGACATCAGTTGAGAAACCAACTATCGTTTTTTTCACTAGTCTGCTACTTCTCTGTTAGAAATCAATAGCCACTTCATGAACGAAACATCTTTCCGGGTAATGAAAAATTGTCGCTCAGTCACCCGGAAAATATACATAGATGGTTCTATCTTTTGTGTTAGATGAAATTAACAAAGTTTCAAAATCATTACTAAATACAATAAACAAAGTTCAGAAGTTAATTAGTCAAAGCAGAGACTATAAAGATTCAAGTTAATATTTTCATATGAGCAAAACCCAGAAAGAAAAAGAAAACTAAATCAAAGCTAAATTCTTCATGGAACATTGAAGAAAATGGTGATATCTATCCAGATCTATTAAAAAAAATCTCATAGAAATAAACCTTAAAAGTGGAAGGAAAAATACACTTAACCTCGACTGAGCAGTGGTGCCGCCGTGAACGGAGTCCCGACTGGACGGCTTTCTTTGGCTGTCGTAAGAGGTGAATCGGAGTAGAGAAAAAGAGTGAGGCAAGGAAGAGAGAGGTGAGAAATGAGGGTTTGCTCCCAATATAAATACTATAAGTTTTTCGACCTCTTGACGTCGGAAAATTGTAGTCGGTAATCAGTTATAAATACAACCTCGATTTTCGCAATCTTTACGTCGGTTTTTTCCGTCGGAATACCAAAAGTTTTTAATTTGGTGTACTTCTTCTGAAATGGCTTCTTCCTCTGTTAATTCCATTGTCGAAACTCACTTCATTATATTCATCAGTGCCAACCTGTTTCGTATATCCTCATGTTATAATAGTATTAATTATGGATCAAATAACTAGTTTTAGGTGATTCAAATGTGCAAACCACCAATGGATTAAGTGAGTGTAGGGTTCAACAAGATTTCATTATTCTTCAGGATGGAAATTGGAGAAGCTGAAGTTTGCATTTTTGAAGCACTTAAACATTTATATGCATGTATTGTTGTATGTATATGTCTGGCACGCTTGGCTTGGTTACTAGGAAGGGTTGCATCCGTCATCTGAAACTATGAGGAAATACAACCCAAAGATCGAGTATCCAATTCAATCACCTGGTAACACAGGATATTTTCGAGATATAGCTATGGACAGCTTGGAAAAATTTGGAGTTGGTGTAATCTATCCGCGGAGGATTTTTTATTTTTACAATGATCTTCATAGTTATCTTACAAGCAGTGGTGTAGATGGAGTAAAAGTTGATGTGCCTTAAGGTATGGACATGGAGGTCATGTTGCACTTACTGGGAGATACCAAGAAGCTAGTCTGTTGCGAGAAACTTTGGAGCAAACAACCTCATTTGCTGTATGAATCACAACTCTGACTCCTTCTACAGGTGATTATTACTCTTCAGTTGAAATTGATATGCAAGGTATGGATGGTTTGGTGTGTACTATATTTGGTTGAGTACAATTACGCTCCTAAATGACTTCAACTTTTGTCTTTAAACTGAGGGAACAATTTATGCTTAAGCATTGCTGATGACAAGGTTGCTTTGATCAGATCTTATTGCTTCTGTTCTGTGTTCTATTATGGGGAAAAACTTGAGCTTAGAAAACTTACTTATTTGATCACAAAAGAAAAGGCTTGAGCTTAGAAGAGCTAACTGCTCTGCTTATGGTAATATGGTTGCTGTTTTGTCAATTTTTAACTACTCTTTTTGTCAATGTGGTCACAGGTTTGTATCTAGATTAATTGACATCAACGAGAACGGTAAATTTAGGGGCTCGAAACAAGACACTCCATACACTGACCTCCAAGAGTTGATAGATTTCATCAACTTTGATACTCAAAAGGGCATAATTGTACGTCATGGAAGCTTTTGTTTAGTAGTTTTGCTCTCTCACTAAGTTGTGACTTCACTGCCACTTAAGTTCTTCAGGTGGTTGGGGAGTCTGGACTATTTACTCCAGCTGATATTGGTTATGTACAAGAAGCTGATGTCTAACCGGTAAGCTTCTTTTCTAATTTAGAAGTTCACAATGATAACTGCGTATAATTATTTACTCCTGCTAATATGGTTTTGCCTGGTCTTCATTTGACAATCATGTTATCATCAACTACTATGATAAGTGCATTCTGATCAATGATGTAGTTTGTTTATACCCTTACCCTTGTCCTTGTCCATCATAATTCATATATGGTGATATTGTTGTTGCATCTCTGTAGGTGCTAGTTGGTGAGTCGCTTGTAAAACAGCAGGATCCTACTAAAGGAATAACTGAACTTTTTGGTAAAGACATCTCCTGCTAAGAGGCAGCAAGTTGGCTCTGATACTGTTCCTTTCCGAAGAGATCTTTTTGAGATTCTTTACCACAATTTTGTGCCCAACAATCAAACCTCCTAAAATTCCAAAAATTAAACATGTTTATAACTAAAACATCCAAAAGGAAGTCCAAAACATCCAAGCACCATTCAAGTGACATCCAAAAGCAAGTCTAGACATTCAGACACCATTCAGGTAATATCCCAACGAAATCAAACAAGTAAATGTTCCAACATCACAACCACAACAAACTAATTCTCCCCATCAGAGTCATCATCATCAGATCAAAAATTGTCTATGAGATGATGCACTAGATTCTCCAGTCCAGCAAGTCTTAAACGGTCTGCTTTTTGCTTTTTCAACAACTCATGTACTTGTATCCGCAATGAATCTATCTCTTCCTCATTCTGTTTCAATGGAGAACTTAAAGAAGCAGCAGACAATCCGTACATGATACAGCCTACACAATGCTCTGATCCAAGGCCGTGTGCTTTACCTTTCTTTACTCCATCAATCTTCTTCGACAATATTGAAGCTTCATCATCGTCTGGCGATTGGTTTGAGCTATCATTCTCAGAAGTAGGTTGACTTTGACGCCATTCATCCAAGCTTTTTTTGTATCCAGTCTGAAAGATTAATGATAAGCTAGTAATTAATAAACAAATTCATGTTAAGGAAAACATATTAGCTCTGAAGCTAAGATCTTACATTTGTCCTCTCAACATGTGGCTCAAACAAAGTACTATGACCATCTTTCTTATTTTTCTCAACATGTTGGATGCTTATCTTTTGAAATTTCTCAGTGGTTCACTTTTCATTAAGTCTAGCCCATAAACCTTCTAGAATCCAATCGGGCTTCTGGTTCCTTTCCCAAGCACTCCACAAGAAATTATTAAGCATAAAAGCAGCGGCTATCTCAAAATTATAAAATATTTGATAATCATGTTCGGTATACCATACGCACTTCGTCTACAAAAAATTTATAACATTAGATGAACAAAGTAATTTGATAAATAATGTAATGAACTAATTTATTGTACCTTAAAGTGATTCCACATTTGTTCTCTGTCAAAGACAGGTATCTCTCCCCAGGAACTCCAAGCGTCACGATAAAATGATTTAATGGAATCCATAATCACAGTTAAAGATTGGCTGAAGGGGGAAAACCTGCATTAAATTTAACATATGTAAAAATATATATTGAATAACTAAAAACTAACAAAAGTACTATTGTGTACCCAATCTCAACAGGAGCGATAATCAGCCTCCACGAAGCATCCAGCGTTCCAATCTCTCCAACATTTCGACTCTGTGTACCTGTAAAGATCCATAAATTTTGATAATTAATTTGGGAAAAATTATGAGCTTAAGAGTATAATTTATTCTCGCCTCAAAGTATGAAGGGTTCGTCCACCCAAGGACTAGAAAACCTTGGGATAGTTCAATGTGCCTAAGGGACAAGTTCATAATTCATTGCCCATAACTAATCCACCAGATTTACTTGTAACTAGCCAGATAACCCAAGAATGAATTGGAGAGGAGCATTAATGTTTCAGAATTATGCAAGATCCAACACAAAATTCACAAAGTGGTTTCGAATTTGTAATGCCATGGCAGACTGCTTTCAGTGGATTATGCAACACACAAAGGGAAGACCAAAATAGCAAAAGCTCTGAGGGCAAAGCTTGTGGATAGAAAGAAATATCAGGATCTTTGAGGGCAAAGCTTGTAGATAGAAAGAAATATCAGGATCTTCGAGGGCAAGGCTTGAGCAGCATGAGCCTCACATATAGGACGACTCCAAATCTCCTCTACATACTTATAGAGTGACTCCGCACTTATAATTAGAGAGAGACATTTGCTTCATTCTTTTGAGTACTAGAGCCTGTCTTGGTTGACTATTTCACTAAGCATTACAGAAATTCCATAAACAATAGTTTTTCTTTTTTGTGTTGTAATTTATGATCTCTCATATGACATGCATGAATAAAACATTTTCATCGGTAGAAAGGTGTTGATTTAAAGATTGTGTTCATGCATGATGTTAGCCATTTCAAATTATTGTATTTCGAAAAGACTTTCAAATACATGTAAGAGGCATATAAGTAGAGTGTAGTAGTGACCTGCCAGTGGAGAGGTAGTGTAACCTGTAGTCTCCGAAACTTTTTTCTTTCCCTTAGATTTATCTTTCACTGTATTAGTACTTTGTGGACGATCATTTTCCTGGGATGCCATCTGTATAATACAAGCATGGTAAAATAATAATAATAATAATTTAAGAATACTAATAAAGTTGTTACTTCTACAATCTATTATATGATAACTAAAGAACATTAAAAAGACTAACATATTAATTTCTCCCTTGCTTTTCTTTGATCATTAAATTTTTTATATTGCTAGTTTCATTTTCATCGAGTAATTATTTCTTGCTTGTTTTGTGTTCATCGACTGAATCTCCATTCTTGTGTGGCATGGATGTATCTTCATAATCTTGTTGATTTAGTCTACAAGTAATGACTGAAGGATAAATTCTTCATAGATACATTTTATTAGAAATAAGCCGGGAATTTTGAACATGCACTCAGCTACCCTTCCAAACATCTTCTGCCCAATTACCCGAAAAAGTATACATAGATGGTTCTATCTTTTGTGTTAGATGAAATGAAGGAAGTTTCAAAATCATTACTTACTTCAATAAACAAAGTTCAGAAGTTAATTAGTCAAAGCAGAGACTCTAAGGATTCAAATTAATATTTTCATATGAGCAAAACACAGAAAGAAGAAGAAAACTAAATCCAAGCTAAATTCTACACGGACCTTTTAAGAAAATGGTGATATGATCTATTCAAAATCTCATACAAATAGTAAACCTTAAAAGTGAAAGAAAAACGGTAGAACAAGGAAAAAATACACTTATCTCAACTGCACGGTGGTGCCGCCGTGAACGGTGGCGCGACTGGACGGCTTACTTTTGCTGTCGTAAGAGGTGAATCGGCAAGGAAAGAGTAGAGAAAAAGAGTGAGGCAAGGAAGAGAGAGTTGAGAAATGAGGGTTTGCTCCCAATATATATTTAAGTTTATCGACGGCTTTACGTCGGACTGCGTCGGTAATGACTTATAAATATAGCCTCGATTTTCGTAATCTTTCCGTCGTATGAATATCAAAAAGTTTTTGTTTTCTGTTTTTCTTCTTCTGAAATGGCTTATTTTGTACTCCAGTATTCTTCTTCCTCTGTTCCTAATGTCTTTGCCTACAGCAATTCCCAAAATTCCATTGTCGAAACCCACTTCATTATATCCATTTACATACGCTAATGCAGTGGAGAGAACACACTAAACTGTACCAACCTGTACGTACTTACTGGAGTTATATATGATATGAGCATTTTCTGTGATACAGTTGCGACAGGCCAACAGCTCTTTTGCAAGGCTGATGTGCTATTCTTCTCAGGTGGCAGCACATTTAGAGTGGTTTGGATGGTGTACATCGGATGCATTCTACAAGAATGTCAATCCACAGGGGAATAAAGAAGGTCTTGAAAGGTACAAATATTTTTTGGTATTCTTCTTCTGAAATGGCTGATTTTCTAGTATTCTAGTTCCTAATTTCTTGCCCACAACATTTCCCACTTCATTATATTCATTAACACACTGTTTGTTGAAGGATCACAGTATATTCTCCTGTATATCAGATAGTTGTTTATCGTAATATCGTTGTTGTTTTGTCAATTTTTAACCACTCTTTTTGTCAACATGGTCACAGATTTGTATCTAGATTAATTAAAGACGGCAAATTTAGGAGCTTGAAACAAGACACTCCATGCTTTGACCTCCCGGAGTTCATAAATTTGATCAACTTGGATACTCAAAATGTAATGACCCATTAGGTCATTTTTAGAATTTTCATGAAATTTACCGTTTTGTCCCTCCCGACTTTTGACCCAGAGTTATTCTTGATTGAGTTTTGAAAGTTGGTTTCAAGCCTTGAGTAAAAAGTTTATATTTTGGCAAGTTTTGAGTGTGAAAGGCAAAGTTGCTTAAAAAGTGGTTTTTGATGTCATTCGAGGTTCGGATGCTTGGATTGGAATTCCGGAGGTTCTGTTGGATTTGGAGGATGATTTTAGGCGTTGTGTTGTTTCTTGTTGTGTTTTGAAGGTTCCATTGAGTCCGGAATGTCGAGTATAATTGATATTACGGGATTCCGAACGAATCCCAAGGGTCTTGTCAATGTTTTTAGACTTGGATATGTTTGGTGGTGTCTGCAGGCCTCGCTTTTGCGAAGGTCAATCGCTTTAGCGACCTTCGCAGAAGCGAGAGCCTCTTCGCTTAAGCGAGCGTTGCGAAAGCTAAGGGGACTTCGCTTTTGCAACATCAGAGGGGGGGGGGTTTGATCTACAATTTTGATGTTTAAGCTTCATTTTTCATTTTTGAGCTTGGGAAATCCTTGGAGGCGATTTTTGAAGAGTTTTTTTTGTGCTAAATCATTGGAAAGCTCTTGTAACCCTAAAATCTCATTTCCCTTTGACTATCTATGGATTCTAACATCATAATTTGGGACTTTGATTTGGAAAATGGCAAGATTTCGCAAGAACTTGAGTTTTAATCTAAAATGGGGATTTTGAAGTGATTTTAAATCCTTTTTCAAACTGGTTCTCACGAATGAGTTCCTAAAGCCTTAAGTAACATTTTCAAGTGTTGATTTTCGGATTCAAACCCTATTTTTGAAATTGGATTTTGAGTTGATTGACTCATTTTTTCAAAGAAACTGATGTGGGTGTTGTTGTTTCTGGAGAGTGATTGTGAATACTTGATTGTTATAGATTATGTGACTTTGAAAGTGATTCGGAGAAAAATGGTCAAATACCCCCCTCCCCCCAATCTATATTTAGATTTTTCAACTACATACTTATACATTACCCCCCAAACTACTTTAAAATGGAATAAATAACCCCTTAAAACGTGATAACTGGCCATCTGCCTTGTGGTGATTACATGCACTTGACACGTGTGTTTCACCAATTAATTTTTTTTAAAAAAGTTTTCTCTCCTTCTTCTTCATCCTTTCTTCTTCAATCTTTTTGTAGCCCTAATTTATTTATTTTTTGTGAAAGCTTGATTTGGGAAAATATTAGGGAATACATTGGGGGTCTTCTTCTATTTTTTTTATCTTCCTCACAAACTTAATTCGCTGGGCCTCCATCTTTTTCACCATTATCATCTGAGAAATCCTCATCACCACCTCCACCTCCATCTTTATCACCTCCCTAATTTAACAGCAATAATTCAACACCCTAACATATCTTTATCATCTTCATTTATAATATCTCTCAGTTGTTCAAGATTTCCAATCCCATTAGTTTCATCATCTCCATCATTCTCATGATTTTTTTTCCTCCTCTAATTCTTTCTATTTAAGATCTTTATCTGGGGTTTTTTTTAAACTCATTACCTAGCTAATCTATCAATAGGGGATTCAAATCTTTTCTCCCTAACTTCACAACTTGTTGCAGATTTTGTTCCTTCAATGATTTTTCTTTCAATTTTTTCACTTTTGTTTTACTTGATAAATCAATCATAATTAAATAGTATAAACACTTGAAAAACATGTTTAATTTGAACACTTTTGTTTTGATAGTCCTATTTGATGATTGCTTTAATTTGTCGGAGAAAATTCGATGATAATGGCAGTGGTAGGTTAGGGATGGAAATAGTGGAAGAGTACCCTTGACTCTTGAAATAAACCCAGGTTAAGTGGAAATAGTGAAAGAGTACCCTTGACGCTTGAAAGAAACTCAGATCAATTTTTCTCAAATTTAATCCAAAATCTTTAGGAATGATATAAATATATGTAAATTTATCTATAATTTATTGGGGTTGATTGATTTTGCAAGAGTACTATATGAGTTCGAAAATTTGTTTGGAAGCAACAATAATGAATTCGGTAAAAATGGCGGTGGTAGCACCGATTTAGAGGTGGTGAATGATGGAGAGATTTGATTTATATTGTTATGGAGAAGAAAGAAAACAAATAAGAAAAATAAATAATTAAAGTACATATATTTATTGAAAAGAGATACTAAAAATAAAGTTTTAGTAATAGCTTTTGATGTGGAAATTTTTTATTATGTATGAGGCATATATATGACGTGGCAGACATAAAAATAAAAAAATAAAAAAATAAAAAAATAAAAAAAGGTGGGGGAACTTAAAGATAGCTAGCGGATGGGTCCTAGCCATATCCACTTGTCAATCAAATGATGTCTCATACAAGTATGACTTGGCGTACCTCATGCATGATAAAATAGGAAGGTATATAAAATTAAGATATAAGTAATTTTTTTAATCCTAATAATTAATTTTTTTAAAAAGTATATATAAAATTTGTAGTCAAAATTATAGTTTTTAGGGAAAAGAGTCTGAAAAATACTCCAACTTTGACCGAAATCACTGTTACGATATCAAACTTTATGGAGGACCTTTAATAGCCCTGCATTATTTAATAGTGTATTTATAATTATGCAATACCTATGATGTCCACGTGAACATATGTATACCTTTAAAATACACTATTAAATAGTGTAGTAAAAGGTCATTTCCAAAGTTTGGTATCATTACTGCAATTT